CACACACGCACATGCAGAAACACACACACACACACGCACGCACGCACGCACGCACACGCACACGCACACGCACACGCACACGCACACGCACACGCGCACGCGCACACGCACACGCACACGCACACGCACACGCACACGCACACGCACACGCACACGCACACGCACACGCACACGCACACACGCGCGCACACGCGCGCACACGCGCCCGCACGTGCCCGCACAGACGCACACAGACACACACACAGACACACACACACACACAGACGACACAAAAACACATATAGAGACGCACAGAGACACACGCACACAGAGACAAACATGGAGAGACACACACAGAGGCGCATGCAAAGACACACATAGACACACACACACACACTGAGAAACACACATAAACACATACAGAGACACATGCACAGAAACATGTACAGAGGCACACACATAGATACACACATAAAAATTCGCCGCTCCGGCGTGTGAACTACAAGGAGCCTCAGCAAGAGCTTCAGCTCTGAACCTAAGCAAGAACTTCAGCTCTGCTTGGGGGGGGTCGCCGGGGTGGCTCTGTCGGGAAGGGGGGGAGGGGGGGTAGAGGGTCCTCCATCCGGCGTTTCTTACCTCGGAACCCTCCCCGGACCCCCTTCCCAGGAAGGGGGGGAGGGGGGGGGGGCGGTCCCCCATCTGGCGTTTTCTGAATGATTTGCGCATCCCCAAGACGTTTCGGGGGTCCCCAGGGACCCCCCTCAAATCTAGCCGCTACCGCCCCCAGGACCCTCCCCTCAGAACCCTCCCCGGACCCCCCCCGGGACCGCTCCAGGCCCCCCCCCCGAGGCCACGTCAGCTCCAAAAAGCGTCCCCGACGACTTCAAGAGCGCCCTCCCTCCCAAACAACGTCCCCGACGACTCCAAGATCACCGAATACGGAGCCCCCAGATCGGCGGCACTCGCCGGAGGCCATTACAATACACAAAGACACACACAGAGTCACACACACATAGACACACACACACACAGTCACAAACATTGACGCACACAGGGGCACACACATAGACACATACACAGACACACACAGACACACACCCAGGCACACACAGAGATACACACAGACATATCCACACAGACACAGACACACACAGACACACACGCAGACACACACAGACACACACAGACACACGCAGGCACACCCGCACAGGAGAAGGTGAACGAACAGAGCGTGGCACGCGACACGCAAACAAAGCCAATCAAAGAATTGCATCCGAAGGGAGCGATCGAAAATTGTGACAAATAGGCCAGATATCTCCGAGGGTGCACGATCAAACAATGTAAATGCCACTCGTCGACGTGTTTTCCCATGCATTATTTGCCGACCTATCCACCAACACGTAACATGCTGGGGTAAGACTCTTGGTGGAGCAAGACCTAGAGGCTACGTGAACTGTGCGTGTGGCAGTCAAGGACCATTATCATCAGCATGTGCCAACTGTCCATCAAACATCGCAATTCCAGTTTTGTAGGTGGACCTCTGCGAACTGAGTAGGACGCGCAACAGACTTGTGCAATCAACGTCCACGGCTTTATCCGAATGAACTGCCCACCGCTGGTGGAGCCACTTCTGGATCCTCTCCCTTGGGCACAGGGGCCTTCATTCCTTTTTTCCATACAAGCCACATGGAGCCAATGATTGAATCGATCGCTATGCTCATGATGCTGTGTGCTGTTAGGCTTTCAAACACTTCACGCTGTTAGCCATCGCAATCGATCATATTTGTCCCCAAACTTTCTTGAATCACAATGTCCGCTAGTTTAACACGCAGCGCAGCCGCAACATGCTCGAGAACTGGAGCACGCGGGGCGTCTCTAACCAGGGTGAATGTAGCTATCCCAAGCACTGCAGCAACCTTTGCCTTCCCTTTATGTATTTTACATACGACACCGCCTTGAATGTACATCCCCTGCGTGAGACTCAACTTGTCCAGTACACGACAAACATGATAGTTTATTGTTCCTGATATAATCCAGGTCAAGGGACTGCATCGCAGCTTCCTTGACCTCCGTCGGATAACGACGCGCAGCAACCTCAACGTGCTTCATCACAGCGCGATTTTCACTCGACAAATCCTATCCAATGTCAAAACATAACATCACATGTGTGAACTTATCCACACTGGACTTCTCCCGGGCCTGCTCACAGTCGGGCCGGTCCATGCGACTTACTTGCATTGCTTTTCCTGCGAGGGCATCCTTTGGGGCTTGATCTGCTACTTCTGCAACAGGATCTCTTGATGCCGCCGCATTCTCTCTCTGCTTCTGAATCCTACCATCTATGTCTTTCACTTTCTCTTGCATTTCCATGATCGTTTTGCTCACCTCTTCTGCTTTTTCTCTTTGTCGTGCATATTTCAACCACTTGTCCAATGCTCCATCACGGGTAAGCTCTTGGCGAGACTTGTCGAAATTAAGAAACTCTTGCAAAAGGTCTTCAAGGATGTACATACCCACTTCCGTTTTGCGCTTCCACCTACCAAGGATTCTTTCACCTGTTGTTGCAACTAAAACTTCAATCAAATAGCCCTTGACTTCTGGAAACGATCGCTTGTAAATTTTCGACGCGTGCCGAGCCGCCGGGTAATTGTTGTAGAACTTGGCCCACCGTTCTCGGCTCTCTTCTCTTTCTGCTGACCCCTCCAAAGTCACATAATCAACTGCGTCGTATGTGAAATGCCCAAATTTGGGTACAATTTCCCATAACTGACCACTCTTGTCTTTCATTTTCATCGTTTTGCTACCCGGTTTGATCGATTTTCTATCCGGGTCCACGGATTCGAAATTCGGATCACGATCCAACATATTCGCGAAGACCTCCCATTCCCTTGTCGTCACTCGTGGTTCCTCTTGGTTGGCGTGGGCGTGAAGCCTCAAGACATAGTCCCTGTCGCTTGCTGTGCCACCACATTTAATGATATGCGTTTTACGCTGAGCAAGCCCAATAAACTCTATATGCGGTTTTGATAATACCTTCTTGGCATTGTCTTCAATGACTTGCTCCTTATGTGTCACGGTCTTCTTGGGTAGCGTTGGTGTAAGCCAGCTGGAGAGTGCTTTCATTTTCCCTTGTTATCCCAAGCGTCAACTAAACGTGGAATGAATTCCTCATCGTCTGACAGGTCTGGCTTCGAACTCTCCCATGCTTGACAAACGACAGGTGGACATGCTGCCCGCTGCAATGTGTTTATCGACTTGCGCTTCTTTTGGATGCGGGTCGCCGCAACAACAAACAATGCACACGGAACCACTCGGAAACGGCACCGCCCGAACGCAAACTCTCTACAGAAATGTAGGGCTCCTTCGCGCCGTGACGGCGAGCATCCACTTCCAATGTAAGAACGCGCAGGTACACCTGAATTTGCACACGTCAGGAACATGTTTACCACGTGAGGAAGTTCTTTGCACGTAGTGCCAAACTTGGCGGGGCACCAACTAAGTAACACGTATTGGGCCTTTTTTACCAGAGACTATGCATATGCCTCCGACGAAGCTTTGAGCACAAATGGCTTGAGCCAAAATGGCTACGGAGGCACAGGGGCCTTCATTCATGATGTCGAGTCGGAATCGCGTTTCGAACGCAGTTCAGCCAGGGACACAAGTCGTCAATTTCTTGGTCGACGTTTGTGAACCCACATGGGGCCATGGTATTGGCCTCGCAGAGCTATCGGCAAGGCACAGCGGACCGAGAAAACCTCTGACTCATCTGACCTCCTGGACTTCCCATCTCAGCACAAGCCTGTCCCCCCAGGAGAAGGCAAACTGCAGAAGCAGAAGCTTTCGGAGGTCCGCGCGGACTTCTTGGGCAGGCGCTGGACCCCCCTCCCTGGTGCGCTCCGCATGCTGGAGGCGCAGCCAAGGGTGCCGATCCAAGAAGTCCGCGCAGAGCCCCGACAACACATGTGCATGCAATCTTTTCTTCTTCCAGCCTCAGCAGGGGCAATGTGATATTCTGCAGGAGGTCTCGCCGGTGCCTCGTCCCGCGGAGACAACGGCGCCACGAGCGTCGTCAGCAGCGGCTCCGACTCGCAGAGCTGGGCGTAGAGCTCCACCATCTCGTCCTCGCTGGGCGGCCGAGCGCAGTTCCCGAGGGCGGAGGCTCCCTGGTCGAGCGGGGCCCGCCCGAGACAGCGGGGGCCGTGAGCCGGGGCGGGCAGGTCTGAGTTGGGTCGCCTCGCGAAATTAGGGACACAAAAAACGACATACACTTTTTTCGTCGGCGGCTAAGTAAGGGGTCGTCTGCGCTGGCGGAAAAAAGCTACACGTCGGTCGGAAGAAGCAGGTAGAAGCATGAAGTAGGAAGGCGGATATAGTGGACTGGGTCCAGGTCCTCCCAGAGAACAACAAAACACAGCAAAAGCATGCCGACTCTTGAAGTAGGAAGGCGCTCGAAGTAGATCGGGATCTGGGAATCCCAAAATACCTGCTTTCAACGACCGGCGTGTGTACACGGGGGCGCCGTGCAGCGAAGTGTGCCACGGCGCAGGAGAGGAGGGAGAGGACGGGGGGGGGGGGGCGGCCGCAGCGATGCGGGGAGGGGCGATGGCCGCTCAGCCCTGGCCATCGCTCGTACGTCCATTCCCTGAATTTTTTTGCCGGCTTCGTGCGTGGTTTTTTCTCGCCACATGCTCAAGGATGCTCCTCGACGGTCCTCGCCGGGGAAAAGACACACGTCCGAGCGATGCCAGGCTGGACAAGGACGCCAGGGTCTGGACGCCCCTGGGTCTCCGCTCGTGGATCGGCCACGGACACCGCCGCCGACCTCATCGGATGGGGAGCCCTCCAGGGTCTGAGGCCTCCTGGGCACGCTCCTTCACCAATGCGCCCCCACCGTATCGGTTCGGTCAGCTCGGGCCGAGGCGGAGCCTGCCGTGGTCCGTGTTTCGGCGTCGTGGCCCTATCGCTCGTGGCCGAGGGGCGCGTCGGCGGAGGGTCCTGCGTGCGAGACGGGCCGCCGGCGATCAGCGCGTAGCCGCCGCTCTCCGCGTCGAAGGCGGCGTCCGCGTCGGCGTGCAGTGCCAGGTAGACGCAGCCGCGCTGGAGGGCGCCTCGAGGCGGGCGGGGAGCGGCTTTTTGTTCTCTCGCCTTCCTCCCGCTTGTCTGTCTAGCGGCCTCCCAGATGGGGTCGGAGGATCGCGCCGCATTGCCAATGCATTGCCGATGCATCGGCGATGTGGAGCGATCCTTCGAGCCCATCTCTCGGATCTCATTTCAGCAGGCCTAGATTATCTGACATGGGAGAGACACGCGCACAACAAGCACATTTGATCAAATATCTTACTGTAAGACATCGTTGGCTACATTCGTCGTCGACCTCTGAGGGTCCTAATGAATCATGGTGTCCCAGAGCTTCCGTGGGCCCCTGGGGCCACGGGGGGACAATCGATTTCCGTCGGGGTACCTGCAAGCAAGCCAGTTTCTTGCTGGATGTGCCCACTGTAATAATGCCGATGCGAAGAACTGCAACATTTGCACCTGATGCGGCTCATGCCTGCACATCTGCGGGTCTTCGCAGCCATGCCTCCGTGTCGACTCTGATGTCGCGCGCAATGCGGTCAATCCGTCGTTGATGAGATGCGTCGCTCTGGCTTAAGCTGACGCGATCGAACTCTGGCGCAGGGCCACAACTGGTTTCAATGAGTTCAGCGCGAATCCGCTGCTTCATATTTTCTTTATTTCTCTCAGTCCACATCGTCCTCTCTAGCTCTCAATCCATCTCTCTGTTTATGTATGTATGTATGAAAGTATGTATGTATGTATGTATGTATGTATGTATGTATGTATGTATGTATGTATGTATGTATGTATGTATGTATATATATGTATGTATGTATGCATGCATGTATGTATATATGTATATATGTGTGTATATATGTATGTATGTATGTATGTATGTATGTATGTATGTATGCATGCATGCATGCATGTATGTATGTATGTATGTATGTATGGCTGCATGTATGTATGTATGTGTGTGTATGTATGTATGTATGTATGTATGTATGTATGTATGTATGTATGTATATATATGTGTATAGGTATGTGTGTTTGCTGTTCCTGTCTCCTTCCTGCTTCTCTGCTGCTCCTTTACCGCCAGCTATGCTGCCGCTCTGTCAGTCAGGCTCAGCGCACTTTTCTGTTGCAGACCGTCCCGCCCTTCGTGCGGGGAAGCTGCGGCCAACATCCCGTCCTGAACGTAAGTGATTAGGAACCAGTGGTCCGGCCAACCCCTGCCGATCGGAGCGAGGAGACCGAGAAGGAAGAGGAGGAGGAGGAGGCGGAGGAGGAGGAGGAGGAGGAGAAAGAGGAGGAGGAGGAGGAGGCGGAGGAGGAGGAGGCGGAGGAGAAGGAGGAGGAGGAGGGAGGAGGAGGAGGAGGAGGAGGAGGAGGAGGAGGAGGAGGAGGAAGAGAGAGAGAGGAGGCGGAGGAGGGAGGTAGGAGGAGGGTGAGGAGGAGGAGGAGGAGGAGGAGGAGAGGAGGAGGAGTGGAGGAGGAGGAGGAGGAGGAGGAGGAGGAGGAGGAGGAGGAGGAGGAGGAGGAGGAAGGGAGGAGGAGGAGGAGGGGGGACTACAACTACAGACCCACAAGGGTTCATCGCTCGGAGGCCAACGGGGCCTTCCCTGGCGGGCGCCCCCACCCATGGCGCGCAGAGGAAGCGCCAGGGCCTGGCGCCGGAGGCGCCGCCTGAGCAAGGGCTCCTGAGTTCGGGCTCTGTGCTGCGCGAAGCGCGACGAACTCCGCGCCCTCGCGCCGCCCCCCCGCCCAGGGGCGAAGAGGAGGCTGAGGACTGCGAGCAGCGAAGCGCGAAGAACTTCGCGCCCTCGAGGGCGCCCTCTACTTGAGGAGGCGAGGAGGAGGAGGAGGAGGAGGAGGAGGAGGAGGAGGAGGAGGAGGAGGAGGAGGAGGAGGAGGGGCCAGCACCGACCCACGAGGGTCGTCGCCGACCCACCGCCAGTGGAGCGACGATCGGCAGCGGGCCTCTTGCGCGAGACGGCGCAGCGACCTGGCGCGCCCCACGACCTGCGAAGGGCCGCCGGCGCAGGCACAGCCACGGCGGAGACGAGGGCCAAGATGAAGCCAGGGCGAGGATACAGTTCAGGAGGGGAAACAACACACAGACACAATTAATCGTCGATTTCCCAGAAAACATAGGAAAATATGGGAAGTGGGGGGGAAGTGGGGGGGCGTTGACCTAAGGAACCCTAAGTAAGGAACGAGGCCCCTTTTTTCCATAAGTCAAACTTCGATTTCCCATCGGAAACATAAGGAGAACCTGAGGCAGGCTGCGACACACTTAAGGAGCGCGGAGCCCCTCCCCAACCAAAAAGGTTCCTTCTTCAGGGCCCCGACTGTACAGTCGGGTGAGGACAAAACGAGAATCTCTGAGATCTGGCGGCTCTGGAGGATGTCTCGGGCGCCGCGGCCTTCTCAGAGCGTTCCGCAACGCTCCGAGAGCGCTCCAGACCGCTCGGGGCCGCACTTCTCCTCGCCCTTGCCCCGTCCGAAGGGCGCTCACGCGCGATCTTGCGCGGGAAGCTTGCGCGCGAATGTCGGCGCAGACGACCCCGTTTTTGGCGTCGCCTAGTTGATGCTTATGCTTCCTTGTTGTCCTTCGAGTGCTCCCCTCCGTCTCTGGCCCTCTCTCCCAGAGGGTCTAAGCCTGCATGCTGGATCTCTGGATCGCTCTCCCCCTACCCCCTACCCCGCGCGCACGGGGGGAGCGGGAAGCAGGGGAGGGAGCGAGGGAGCGAGCGAGGGCGGGGGGGGAGGACGATGAGGAGGAGAAGGAGCGTCGGGACTTAGCTGGGGCGTCTGGTCACGCCAGCTGGCGATGCTCAACAGCGCCCGATGCCCTCAGCGTGTGTGTGTGTGTGTGTGTGCGTGCGTGTGTGTGTGTGTGTGTGTGTGTGTGTGTGTGTGTGTGTGCGTGTGTGTGTGTGTGTGTGTGTGTGTATGTCGGTGTGTGTGTGTGTGTGAATGTGTGTGTGAATGTGTGTGTGTGGGTGCGTCCACACTGCTCGCTCTGCCGCTCCGTGCAGCGCCCGTTCTTCCCGTTCTGGTGACGCGAATGCTCGTCCTCCTGGCCTGCAGACTTCCCGCGTCGCTTCACAACGAAAACCCGCTCGTGGCAAACGCGTCCCGCTGCCGTGCGCCCGTCGTTTGGTGTCAGCGGCGTGCCGCGGGAAAAAAAAAAAGGTGTGCGCGTCACCGCTGTGGTTGAGGAGGAGGAGGAGGAGGAGGAGGAGGAGGAGGAGGAGGGAGGAGGAGGAGGAGGAGGAGGAGGAGGAGGAGGAGGAAGAGGAGGACGCGCCGAGCGACGGCCTTTTCCTCGCCCCGGCCTTCCCCCAAGCAAAAAGCGACCGCTGCGCCTGGCCAATGGAGGCCTCCCCCTTCCGTTGCGCCGGTCTCCTCGCGCACATCGGTTCACAGAGAAGGTTTCGGGCGTGGCCAGCGTGGGCGCACCCAGTACATTCTGACTCGCGACTGTGGTGCCACATCGCCGGACGAGGAGCAAGCGTGTGTGAATGTGTGTGTGCTCGCGCGATGAAATTGGCCGCCACGTCGATGCTGGCGGTGCGGTCGTGGAAAGAGAAAGAGGAGGATGAGGAGGAGGCCGGACAGAAGGACGGGAGGAAGAGGAGGGACCAGCTTAAGGCAAAGACTCACCAACGATGTTCGAATCAACCCTCCCTCCAAGCTCCGTCTTCCAGGAAAATCTTGCACATTTTCAAAACGAATGTGCGCGGCGCTAAGGCAGATAGCGCATTTTGAAAACGGCCCGCCTTCAAGCCGTGAAGCTCTTGCACATTTCTAAAACGAATGTGCGCGGCGTTGAGGCGGGAACCACATATTGAAAACGGCCCGCCCTCAATCCGCGAAATTTTTGCAACGTTTGAAACGTATTTGCACCGCGCTGAGGCGAGAGCCACATTTTGAAAACGGCCCGCCCTCCATCTGTGAAACTGTTGTCACCTCGTAAACGTCAGGATCATGCCAAGGAGGTCTCACGCGAAACGCCTGGCCCGCCCTTCCGACTCGCCTCGGGGTGCGACAAGGAGGAGCTATTTATAAGAAAACGGAATGGAAGGGGAGGAGGAGGAGAAAGGAAGGAGGAGGAGAAAGGAAGGAGGAGGAGGAGGAGCAGGGAGGAGGAGGAGGAGGTACTGTTACAATTTCTGATTCAGACAACTCAGATCGCCGTTCTCGCTCCCAGCAGCGCGAACCTGCCTGGCATCGACGACGACGTCGACAAAGAGCAGACGCCCGTACTCTTCTGCGGGTATAGCAGGCGGTGAAGCTGCTGCAAGAACACCACAGTGCTCAAAGGCATCAAAGTACAGAAGAAATGAGTACTGGGTCCCCAGGATGGACATGCAGATGCGGACAGCACCAACCAGGATGGCAATGATAATGCTCATCGTGTGGTTCCTCTTTCGACAAGCGGCGGAGACCCAGCAGGAGCGTTTCTCGCCACAAAGGACAGTGGGGAGGCAACAACCCCGCGCCCAAGAAGAGGCCAGGGCGAGACCGCTCCCAGCAGGAGCGCAAACCCGACCGAGATGGCCTGGACAAAGCGGCTCGCAAGCTCATCGAGAGAGTGGTTCCTGCCCTGAAACATATTGCAGAGTCGCACGAAGATTGGGCCAAGTGGGAACCCCCAGAGGACCGCCGCACGCACAGCCAGTTCCGAGATCGAGTGAAGACGCGTATGATGGTGCTGGCTCGGCTGGCAGTACAGGCGGTCAGAGCGAGGAAGTCAGACGAGGAGCTGAAGGAGGAGATGGGCATGCTACTGTACTCCCTGGACCAGCTGAAGCCGCTGAGCGAAGTCAAAGCAGAACATATGGCACGATTGACAGCCAAGATGGAGGACCTGAAGAATACAAAATGCCGTATCGCCCTGCTGGAGACGCAAGTTCAGGAGATCGAAGACGATATTGCGGATACCAAGTCAGCGCTGGCGGAGATCGAATCCAATATTGCAGTCGAGCTCAAGGACCTTCTTCCAGGTGCGGAGACAAATACCTCAGGAATTGACATATCGGGG